GTCGCTCTCGCGGATCCCCAGGAGCTCGCCTGGCCTGAAGTAGCGGCTGCAGGCGGAGAGGACAGCCGCGCGAGCCAGCTCCCCTGGCCCAGCAGCTTGGCCACCAGGCACGCCGCAGCCCATTGCAGGGGCAGGCGCGCCTTCGAAGCCGCGTTCGACGCCCAGCCGTCGTAGTCCGTCTGATTCAGCATCTCCACCACGGCGATCTCGGCATCGGGCGGCAACTGGCCGCGGAGCTGCTGCTGGCGCGCCCACTCCAGGAAGCGCTGGTCTGGTCGCGGCACTCCGACTCCAGCCGCAGCGTCGCCGAGCGCAGCCCCGGCAACCACCTGCCTCGATGAGCCCCACCGCCCCCCGCCGACGGCGGGGGGTTGGACGGCGCGGCGAGCCGCGGCGCGCGCCTCGCGCCCAATCGCCACCTCGCGAACGGGGCGGGCCTCGCGCCTCGGCCTCGGCTGTCGGCGGCCCGCGCCGGGGAAGGGGCTCGCGGAACTGAAACGCGCCGGCAAGCTCCCAGCGCGGCTCGGCGCCCACGATCCCTCGGGAGAGATCCTCAGTCTGGCAGGCGGGCGGCTCGTCGAGGGGGCAGAAGCGGACGCGCCGCGCGGGCCGCGGCCCCGAGGGAGACGCCGCGGCCGCGGCCTCGCGGGCGGGCTCCAAGACCGAGGCGCGCAGGCAACGGCGGCCTCGCCAGGCGGCGTCAGCAGCGTCCCTCTCGGAGGGCAGCCAGCGCCAGGCGGGGGGCAGGTTGGCCGCGAGCACCAGGGCCGCCGATCTCCGAAGGGCGTGGCTGAGGCCAAACGAGCCTCCACGGCCCTTGGTCCGAGAAAGGACTGCGGCCATCGCATGTCCGAGGATCAGGTGGCGCTGCCCAAGTCATGCGGAAGTCCTGGCCAGGTGATTGAGCGCCCAAGTAGCAGCCCGAAACTTCAAATGAACCTGATGGCCCCCAGACGCCCACCTAAACGAGGCCACGCGACGCCACTTTCTTCCCTGGACTCACTCAAGAACAAGAGGCGCACGATCGACACCCTCGACTCCGTCACCCCGAAAGAGGTCACCCCGAATATTGTGGAACTCGTCGTCTTCCTCTCATCGTGAAAATCGCCATCTGTCACTGTGGCACCCCATCGTCTTCGCGCCCGTCTCGTCAACGCATTTGCCCACCACCCCGCACCCCCAAGACGACGAGTCGAACTCGTGCACTTTAGTGCTCCAGGAGGCGCCGAGCTCCCGAAAGGCCACGAAGACTAAAAAGGCAATCCACTCGAGCTCGCGAACCACCGAAGGCCACAGGGCCCCTTCTCCTTTTTGGAACTGCTGGGCAAAAGCGAAGTGTGCCTGGGGCGCGGCCAGCGCCTCACTGCGGATGAGACCCCGCGTCGCGAAGTGGCCAAGGAGCGCTGAGATCTCGCGCCCGCCGGCCCGCCCGAGCTGCGCCGCGCGCGGGGCCGCGAGCCGTGGCCGCCGCGCACTGCGCGGCGACATCGAGCAGCGCCCGTCCTCGGTGAAGTGCCAGCCGAGCGCGTCGCCACCCGCGCTGAGTTCGATGTCGTGCATCGGAAGGCCCGCGGCCTCCAGGCGACCTGGGGCGCGGGCCACCGCGCCCATCACCACGGCTGGGTCCCGCCCGAAGCGCGCGAAGTTGTCGACGCACTCGGCGCGCGCGACGGGCGTCGACCCAGGCGGGGGCCTGCCGTCGACCAGCGCGTTGACCTCCAACGCGTCGGGCTCTCGCCGCGCTGGCCCCTCGCGCCGCGCCTGGCAGGCCTGCAGAGCCAGCGCCCAGCCCGTCGGCAGCGCGGCAATGACGGGGGTGGATGCACTCGCCAGGCTCGACGGGCTGCCCCATCCACCTCCGACGCGCCCAGCTCCCAGGCGCACGCCCTGTCGAAGCCGAAGAGGTCGCGCAGCTCGGGGGGCATTGGGGGTATGGAGATCGCGTGGAAGGCCGCGCCGATGTCGGCGCCGCCCAGCGCTGGCGGCGGCCCCGCGCCCAGCTGCAGGTTGGCGAAGCAAGCTCCGCTGGCGAGCTGCACGGGGTCGGGATTCTCGAAAAAAAAAAAACAGTGCGGGATGCGCGCATCGATGACGAGCCGTTGCGCCCCTGACGTCTCCCAGGCACTGAAGCACCCCGCTCGGCGCCTTACTTTGCGCCGAAAGTCGAGGAGGTTGGCGGCGTGGGGCCGCTTCAAGAACTCTATGTACACCTCGCGGCTCCTCAGAGCGGGGTCGGCATTGGCCCGACGCGAGCCCAGTAACTTCAACTTCGCTTCTCCCTCCACACCGATGAGCACATCGTCTAGAAGCCCGTTCTCGATCAGCACGTCCGCCGAACCCGCGGCCTCCAGCGACGACACGGGTCAAAATCCAGGCGGGGGCAGGTCCAGGAGGCCCGCGCGAAGTAGGGGCAAGCCGAAAGGATGAACCGTCGCAGGCCAGCTTGGACGGAAGCTCGTCGAAGGCCCCTGGCCCGTCGAGGCCGCCGGGGGGGCGGCCCTGTGTCTTCTGCGCGATCCGGTGTTCCAGGAACAGACTTCGCGCCATCGTCGGCCTCGAGGCGTCGCGGGGAGACCCGCGACGCGGCGCTCCGTACTTGTCGTTGAGGGTGCCGATGAGCTCGTCCGTCGCTGGGTCGACGGCGGACTGACGGTGAGCTCTCCTCTGGGTAGCTCGGCGAGCAGCGCGGGGAGGTCCTCCACGAGGTCGGGCGCCGCGAAGAAGAGGTAGAGGAAGAAAATTGCGTTGGCGAAGGTCGGGGACTCCAGCGCCGCGAGCGAATTCAGCCCCGCGATGCCCGTCGAGCCCGGGCTTGAAGCCCGACGGGGGTCCGTCATGCGCCATTGCCAAGGGCGCGGCGTTCTTCCTGCGCCATCCGCACTTGCTTCAAGACGCTGGCATCTCGCTCAACTTCACGAGCGACGAAGTCCAAGAGGTCTGGCGAGACCATCGTCTCGCCCGCCTCGCGGTGACGGCCCATGAACACGTCGCCCTCCTTCAGCGGGCCGGCGCGCCCGCGGCCCTTGCCGCGGTTATTCCTGTCCTTCGCCTCCTTGTCGTCGCCCCCTGAGGGGCCTCCTCCCGCCGGCTCGCGCGAGTACGCGTGCCCCGCCAGTTGAAACCCACGGGCGATGATCTCTAGACAGGCGCAATTCCCAGAGGGTCGTGGATCAATGGAAGTGGATCCGCTGTTCAAGTTTCTTCAGTAAGGTTCACGAGATTGATTTGGATCCGACGGTATGTGTTCAGCTCAGATATGGAACCGCAAAATGAAAAGTTGATCCGCTAAGGTTGGCTCAATCATCAAAGCATGCATCATCAAGCCATCACCATCATATCAATAGCATAGCAGTCATATCGTGATTTGAGAAACAAAACAGTGGGTTGTAACATATGTAAGTGAGCGCCCAATATGTAAAACACCATATAAGGTCGGCGCACCCAGCACGGTATATCTGCATGCGTGCATCTTGAAAAAACCAGAATGTGCAAATATGGTAATGTGTGTTTTGGATGTTGAAATGGTCTTGCATATATCCTGGGCGTCCCAAGTATTGCGCGGAAGTCCCGAGCGAATCGTATGAGGAAGTCTCGAGCGCGAGCGACGTATGCCTGAACGATTTGCTAAGATGGCCTTCAGGCTAGAGGCTCGAAGCCGGCGCGCTCGAGGGGGATCGGGGGGACTCGGCTCTGCCTTCGCACCGCGCCGCTCTGGCTCGAGTGGGCTGTGCCCTGGCACCAGATCGCCAGTGGCGAGGGCGCGCCGCTGGGGTTTCGCGGCCGACCCATGGCGAGCGTAGGCAGCAGCTACGACGGCGGCATGAGCCCAGAGAGTTGGGAAGCGGCCGCAGGCCGCGGCGCTCGCCCCGAGGATGCGGAGACGCTCGTCGAGAGCGCCACGCAGAAGGAGCCCGACGCCATCGGCTCGGAGACGGAGGACGATGGAGGCCCTACTACTCTTCCAGCGCCCGAGCTTGACTTGACAGCGGCGCGCGAGGAGGGCGCGGCGGCGGCCCAGAACAAGATCGCCGAGATGAACGCAGAGCAGCAACAGGCGGAGACCGTCCCGTATGACGCTGCAGCGGCCGCGCGTTCACCTGAAGCAGTCGGGGCTTCGCAGGTCGGCAGCGCGGAGGTCGACATCGAGGAGGTCGACGCCTCGCAGCCCGTCGCCTCGCAGGCCGCCGAGTCAGGGGCGCCTCGCGCCTCGGAGCCCGTCGCCTCGCAGGCCGCCGACTCAGGGGCGTCTGGCGCATCGGCGCCCGTCGCCTCGCAGGCCGCCGAGTCAGGGACGCATGGCGCCTCGGCAGGTGCAGAACCGAATTGTTCTGGGCAGGCAGGCGGCATCGAGCCCGTGGCGGAGGCCGAGGACTCCTTCGACAAGGGCGCCTACGATGCCATGATGAGCGGGTTCGGGCAGGCCACCGACGACGCTTTAAAGTTGCTGGAGCGCGAGAGGCGCGACAGCAAGAAGCCCTCGAAGAGCGACGCCATGGGCTCCGACGACGACGCGATCTTGCAGGTGTACAATGAGTCGAAGGCGCAGGCGGATCGCGAGCATGCGGCCAGGGTCGAGGCCGAGGACAGGTTCCTGCACCAGGCGCTGAAGGCTTCGCAGGAGCAGCTCAAAGCCGACGCGTCGCGGCGTCGCGGTGACTCTCCGCAGCCTCAGCGCTCCAGCAGCTGTGCGCCAGGGGCGGCGACGAGCTCGGACGACCCGAACGGATCCATCTACGCGAAGCAGGCCGCGGTGACCTCGGCGGACGCGGCAGCTGGCGGAGCACGCGCGCCGACATTGTCTTTGTTGAGGGAATTGGGACGAACGACGAGATGATAATGCTGCTGATGATGCGGATGATGATGATGATGGTGGGGATGCCGATGATGCTGCTGATGATGATGCGGCTGATGCTGATAATGGTGATGGTGATGATGATGCTGACGATGATGATGATGGCGAGAAATATCACGATCACGGCGACGCATTGATCAGAAGAGGAACGGAGAAGGCTGGCAAGGACGAGAGAGGAGGGAGGGGGAATAGGGGGAAGGGACGGGGGGAAATTTGAACAGCGGCATGTGAATTCTACCGCCCACGTCCTCACACGCCAAATCACACGCGTGTGGTTTGGCGTGTGACTTAGCCTTGCTGCCACATCTGGCGCCTAAAATCCGACGCCCCCCCAGGGGGGGGGGATTCAGCGGATAGCGCAGGCAAGATTGAAGGCGGAGGGGCGACGCGGTCGAGGAGGACGAACAGGAGGGGAACACTGAGGAAAGGGAGGAGGAGGCGTGAAAAGAGCGGCCGCCAGGCTCGACTTTCCAGACGCCGCCGAAGAGCACGCGCAATAAGACGCGCGAAGATGCGGCCAAGCTCTTCGAGAAGGTTCAGGACCGCTCTCTATGTTTTGCTATGTTTTGCTTTGCATGGGGGAGCATCCACTTGGCGGGGGGGGGTCCCAGATGCGCCCGCTGTCCCCATACTATCACATCATCTTCTGCACTCTGTCGTGATCATCCTCATCTGCACTCTCATTCGCAGTTTTCATTTTCGGATCGCCGCCATCGGCTTCTCATCATTCTGCGGGGCCTCTGGTGGCTCGGATCCTGCAAGGCGCCTTGCAAACATACGTGGACGAAAACGGCGCCGCCTTGGCACTGGCTGCTTGCTAGAGCTACCACATCAAGGAGGCTCGGGATGATACGGTGCGTTCCTCAACGTTCAACCCAAATTCTTCTCGCCCAGCCCCCCCCCCGTCCGCGAGATTTCTTCGCCAAACCAGATTAACCCCTGACAGGCTGCGGACCTGAACTACTCAGAAGCGCGGGCGCA